GGCTAAAGTAGAGGTTGTATTTGCTTCTTAAATCTGCTTTGTAGCGACAGTTATTAAGGCCTTTTGCCCACCTTAAGGTAAGTTGATCAGGATAGCGCTGGACAAAGCGACTAGCCTAGTGTACTCCAACCTCAGTCTTGGCGATCTGTGAGGCAAAATTGCGTATCATTGGCTGAGTAGGTGGTAAGCCTCTATCTGTTAGTCGATTGATATAGGCGATTAGGGCCTGCTCCTGCTGTGGGTGGAGGAGCTGCCGTTTTTGGCCACCTATCGCGCGTGAGGCGTGTAGGCCTTGGTGTCTTCGGGTAAGCGTAGATCGAACAACACTATATTTTTTTGCAATATCTGTATACGAAAAAGGCTCATCAAGTCCTAGGGCATTAATAGCTGCAAGCGCAGCCTCAATATTAGCCATAGTGGTGGGGATACGACGCGTTGAGGTTGAGGTGGTTGTAAGGCGCGCGCGCACTTTGTGGTCGCGCGCACTTTGTGGTGGGGCTAGTTACATCATCCAAGTATCCTGGCGCTTAGAACCTCAAATTTGGTGAACCGCGCGGCTCTATTTTTACCATTTACCAAATTAGTTTTCCTGCGCACATCAAATGAGGCATCAACGAGGCTATCGTTATTTAGGAAATGATATGCCTACATTGGCGTATAGTATCTTCTGACTATATCTTTACCAGAGTCCCTGCTAGCATAAACATTTCTGCCTGGAGTGATATTCACGTGACCTTTTCACCAGGCTGCTCTCCCTCGTCTATATAAGCCACACCTCTCCCAGCCCCTACTTCTCATCCCTATACTTAGTCCGTTTCCCTGTCCCCACCCCCAAATTACAGAATGCTAACTTCCTACAGCCTTCTTGCGATTACCTAGCTCAAAGACTAGGCCAGTCTGAATGTCCGTTCTGCATTGCACAAGGCGGAACTGGGCTTTCACGAGCTTCCTGCGGGAAGCTCGGCGGGACAATTTTTGCTTTCCTACGCACTTTGTGCAACTGCTTTTTTCATTGACGACGCCGCCTTGTGTGGTGTCTTGAGGAAGAAAGATGGGTGTGTGGGTGTGTTTGCGGATACTTCGCGATGAGCCACTTGCGTCAGCTTCTTGAAGAACACATTGGGATATTCTTTGCTGCTGTTTGTGTATTTAATTAGCCTTGAGACGTTCGAGCTGCCATATGCATCAAACACAATCATCTATGAAACACTAGTAGTCCATCAGGACCCCCGCCATCCTCCTTTGGTACTTCTCCACCACATCCTGACACTTGACCACCACACCCGCAGCCAGTACTCTCAACTTCTCATCCTCTTCACTTCCAGCGCCCAGACCATCGAAAACCATCTTCACCCAAGCCTGCGTCTCCATGAGTTCTTTGCCCTGCTCCGTAGCCAGTCGCTCCTTGTTCTCGTTTGTTTCCAGTAACATCAAGAAGCCGAACAAAACCGCATTCAGGATATTCTTATCCTTACTAGCAAGACCACGTACAGATAGCAGGAGATCCCAGTACTCGCGCGTCATCTGAGGTAGCGCTAGAGTGTTTGGACCGGAAGCGTGGAGGAGGATCGAGAGGGTTTGTAGAAAATAGGGCAAGAGGTGGGTGGAGGCGTAGATGGAATCATTGTTGGCGCGAACCTGAAGCCACCACCGTCCAGTAAGGGGGAAAAAGAAATTGTCTGCCACGATTTGGGCAAGGGCATTTGGAATCGGCTTCTGTCTTTTCTTTTCTACTTCCATGCGAGAAGAAAAGGTCCGCACTTTGAGAATGTTGGGGCCGCTGAGTTGATCGGCTGCTTGAGACGCGATTGGGGAAAGCATTTCACGCGCCATGGTACTCGATATCCTGGCTACAGACGGCATTTTGTTCTCTTCCGCATAGATCTTGTGGAGATGTGGTGGAAGTTGCTTGCTAGGAAAGTCTGGCTTTGCGGGTATCAAATCATCGGCCGAACTATCGTTCATGCCAGCCAGCTCACGCGCTCCAATACCAAGAGTCGTGAGCATAGCCACGCGTTGCTCCAAACTGTAATCCCCAGAGAAGAAGGACCGCGCAAACCACTGCGCCATTTGAGCCGGTTTGGCCAGCAATACAGCGATGAGAGCTTGTTGTCTTTGTTGCGCAAAGCCTTCTAGCTCAGAGTTATCTTGCAGACTTGTAAGTATGGTGGCGAGTTCCTCGAGATGGTCAGTTACTTCGGTTCCAAAGTTTGCTTTGCGCCGGATCAAAGATGCGGCAGTAGCCAGGGCAAGCTCGTGTCGGTCGTAGTTTTCTTGGTCGCGGAGACCAGCGATAAGATCACGGATATAGACAGGTGCTGAAGGCTTATTGCGGTTGATTGCCGTAGGATCGTCTGTGTCGTCTTCTGGATCAGAATCTGGTTTTTCGTACACCATCAAATCGGCGTCTTCATCTTCATCCTCAGACATGACTTCAACGATCCGTGGGCCTTGTATTTCGGTGATTCCTGAAGGTTTCGAGGGCTTAGGCGCTGGCTTCGGCTTCGGCTGTACCTTTTTGGTAAAGGCTGTAGTGTTCTCCTGGCTCTTCAGATCTGCGAGATTCCCCACCTTATCGTCAACTTCAGTGAGTCGTTGATACCAGCCCGCTTCTTCAGCTTCAGTGCCTTCCAGCTCGAATTTCAACTGCAGCTCAGGTTTGTCGACCATCTTGGAAATAGCAACTCCAACGGCGATCCCTAAGAAACGAGCTCGCGCAGACGCTGCGCCAATTCGATTTGACATCCCGTTGACATGATACGTAGACTTTGCCATCATGGTGAGAAACATGGGCTGAGAGCGTTTCACATAACCGCTGCATAGTGCCAAAGTCTGAGCAAGAGCTGCATGTATTAGATCAGTATCTATTGAGATGCAGATGGTACTTACCCTCTTGCTGCAGTACCGGCGTATGTCTAATGTAGACGGAATCTCCAAAAAGCTTGATGAGATTTTCCAAAAGCGTATGTAATTTGTCTACGATATGTAAGAATATCGCTTACACAGAACTCATTCTTGCTTACCCTGGTCTTTGGTCAAAGCAGCTACCACGCTTCGTCGAGTTGATAATGAGTCGTCTAGTACGGGTATCGTTGACCGTGTGAGTGATGAAACAAGATGCTCTTTGAGGACGTCATTATCTTTGATGAGAGCGTATAGTAAGCCAGCTGCAGCATCTACAATTGTGGACGATGTGATTGGTGTGTCTTCCTTGCTGACGACTTCCGTTGAGAAGTACTTTTTGGCGAAAAATGCAATTATCGAGTTCATGTACTTTCGTTGCTCAAATGCCTTCATGTGAGATAACAATCGCTCAAGGTGCTCAACACCGCCACCATCGATTAACGTCGAGAGTAGCGATTGCATGATGTGATCTAACTTGTAAGCATGGATAAAAAGGTGTGTGAATAACTTACCAGTGTAGCCTAGTCCTAGCGCTTTTGAGCAGAGCTCTACAGTGGCAGAGAGATGATTTTCACTCTCTGAACTGCGTTCGAGCAAGACAGCAATATTGCGACCGAGCCATTCCGCGTATCGCTTGCCATCTGCGACCCAGTTGGCAATTTCAGGAGCATCATCACTCTTCTTTAGCACGTCCTCGGCCTCCGCTGCAATCGACAGTAGACGTCCTGATGCAGCTTGCGCGAGGTACTCCTTCCATATGAGCTTCTTTTGTATGACATTTTTACCAAACAACAGTACATCCTGCAGTACGAGCGAAGAGGTGTCGTTACCACGTAATATCAAGTCCAGCACCTCGAGCGCATCTACGATGTGTTCAGCCGTATTCCGCGCTTCACCAGGCCCTTTTCTTTGCCGACTGTCCACAATGAGCGAACGAAGCCTCGTAATGATATGTCCCAGGCTTGTCGGATTTCGCAAAATCCTCTCGAGCTGCTTTGATTCTTTAAGGCCTTTGATGGATCTCCAGTAATTCGGAATAGTATCGCTCACAAGCTGATGTGCAATGCTCGCGTTGAGTGGGTCCGGAAGTAGGAGACTAAACCCCTCAGCAGCCAGGTAGTTCAGAACCTTGTTTACCGTCGTGCGACTAGGCTGGTTTTTCAGGGCTTTCAATGCTGTCTCTGCAGAGTCGATGGAAACGGCATCTTCGTGTATATTGGAGCTGTCGACTTGCTCAATCAAAGGCTTGGTGCTATTGATCTTTTTTGTCGATACCGCAGTCAAGAAATCCGCCATGACTTCTGAGAAACACCAGAAAAGAAAAAGGTCAAACAAGCATGTCAGAGTCGACTGCAATGTTGCGTAGCGTGAGATGGGTAGTGTACGGTGCCCAATCGGCGATTGCCTTCCCATGCGCAGACCCGCCAGTTAGCGCCTTGGCAGATCTTCTACACTCTGATGCCTATGCCTACTGTTTGCTCCACGGGCTGATTCCACATCTTTCCTCAACACATTTATCAGCCATGGCTGTCAACGTCAACGACATGAGCGCTGCGTCCACGGCCAGCCCACGGGCCCGATGGTGAGCCGGAAACCGAGGACATCCCTAGCTATCGGCTGATCTGGTGGCATAGGAAGTACCTCGATAGGTTCCTGACTCGCAAGGGGCCTTTTACAGATGAGGATAGTTTCATGGCCGGCGAGCAAGTCATTGAGTATCTGAGTAATTTGAAAGTTCTGTAAGGATACATATCTACGATCTATAGCAGTCCACAGCTAATGAGATGCAGCGTCATGTGAGTGTCACGAGTACCAATAGAGAATCACATACTCGTCCTTGAACCATTTTACTGACAGCCGCAGTGGAGCTGGCGGTCTAGGCTGCGAGATTCTCAAGAACCTTGCCCTCTCCGGGTTCAAGGACATTCACGTAATCGACATGGACACGATTGACGTCAGCAACCTGAACCGCCAATTCCTGTTCCGAGCCTCAGACGTGGGAAAGTACAAAGCCGAAACCGCCGCGGCATTTGTAGAAAAGCGTGTCAAGGGCGTCAAAATCACGCCTTACTGCGGCAAGATCCAGGACAAGGATGAAGCGTACTACATGCAATTTGGCCTCATTGTTTGCGGCCTCGACTCCATCGAAGCAAGACGCTGGATCAACGCGACGCTTGTAGGGATGGTAGATGAGAATGATCCGGATTCGATGAAGCCATTGATCGATGGCGGTACAGAAGGCTTCAAAGGACAGGCGCGTGTCATCTTCCCCACCATGACCTCGTGCATCGAATGCCAATTAGACATGCACGCGCCCCGTGCGGCAGTGCCTCTCTGCACACTCGCCACGATCCCACGACAACCCCAGCATTGCATTGAGTGGGCACACATCATCGCGTGGGAGGAAGAGCGCAAGGACATGACCCTCGACACGGACGACCCAGAGCACATTACCTGGCTCTTCAACAAAGCCACCGCCCGGGCCAAGGAGTTCAATATTGAAGGCGTAACATACAGCATGACGCAAGGCGTGGTCAAGAACATCATCCCGGCCATTGCCAGCACCAACGCCATTGTCGCCGCAAGCTGCTGCAATGAGGCGTTCAAAATCGCCACAAACAGCAATCCCTTCCTGGGATACCCCGGCATGGACAACTACATGATGTATACGGGCGACGACTCTGTATATACGTATACGTTTGAGCACCAGAAAAAAGACGACTGTCCGGTCTGCGGCGCGGGCAACATTGCGCGCCCGCTTCAGATTCTGCCGGGCATTACACTGCAGGAGTTTATCGAGGGGCTGGCCGAGCGCCCAGAAGCGTACGTCCATGTCCTCTATCAATCTTATACTTACCAACCTGAGATTTGCTAACGGACGCACAGACAGCTCAAGAAGCCCTCGATTCGTACTGGGGAAAAGTCGCTCTACATGCAGCTTGCGGGGCTGGAGGAGCAGACGCGACCCAACCTGGAGAAGAAGATGGCGGATTTGGTCGAGGAGGGCGAGGAGCTGCTCATTACCGACAAGAGTTTTCCGACGCAGTTCAAGTACAAGGTGGTGTGGGCGTCGAAATAGGCTTTGATATGAGCTCAGGCGCGAAGTGAGATGCAGTGCTGGAACGACTGCGCTACATATATAGCCCATGAAATAGAAACGATTGCCCATTGATATCGTACCGTGCCGGTTGTCGTTAATTTGTGATTGTACAAGTTCGTATACATGGTCTACGACGCCTCTATTGTACAGCAGCCGCGTTTTTCTCAGCACCCGTGGCCTCGACTGGCTCCGCTTCCTCGAGCACTTCGTGTCCGAATGGCTCGGCATCTCCGTCGGGCACACGCCGTATCTTCAAATGTGCCTCTGCGCCAAACATGCCCACGACACCAATGCGCTTCTCGAGCGGGCCCCACAGCTTGACGGGCGGGCTCTCGCCTTTGAACAGCTCTCTCCCCGCATGTATCAGTTCACTCGCCGCGAAGCTTCCCTCGGCGTACTTGGGCTCATACGGCACACGGTCCCACTCCTTTCGCTGCAGACGCAGCAAGTGCAGCGCCATACTATCTGAGATTGTTTCGTCGAGCTTCACCTGCGAAATGCTGGTTCCCAGCGACTCATCCTCTCCCGCGGCTTTTCTATCACGCCTCTTGACGCCGTCGCCGGGACGGTTGTTGCCGGTGGCTCTTCGTCTTCCGCCAGCGCCTGGTCTGCGGGCGTCTCGCGCGCGTAGATTGGGGCCTTTGACGGCGGCGTCGCCTGCCTCGCGGGCTGCACGGAGTGTGGAGGGGGCGCGGACCATTTGGCCCTGAGGGGGAGGGGCCGAGCCGCGGCTTGTCCTTGGGCCAGCTGCGTTGCGAGCGAAGCGGGGGGTTGCGTCTGCGCCATCTTCGGTGGTCTGGGGCGAGGGCGCCCGCGGGCTTCGCCGTACCATTTGGCCGCTGGGAAACACGCCTCGAGCGAGGCCACCGGGCTGGCGGCGGTTCTGGAGCGAGGCAATCTGCTTGAGAGCCGTGGCGGAGCGGAGTTGCCGCGTATTTTGCGCTGCATTTGCGTCAATACAGTGCCTCGTGGGGGTGCAATTGGAACAGCATACGCTGGGCTGGCGACGCATCGCTGGGTTGCTCTTCGAGCCTCTTCGCCGAGCTGTGCAGGGCTCTCGACGAGCATGCCGGCGCCGAGGCTACATCTGCTACCAATGAGCGCCGCAGCGCGCCCATTGAATAGCACATTTGTCGCTGAGCCATGCCGGAGTGGGGGTGGATGGCAATTGGGGGGTTTGTGCCGTCCAAGTCTCAACTCCAAAGTTTCGAGATGGCCGAGTCTTGGCGGAGCAGGGATGCGGGACCTCCGCAACCACGTGCTTTCACGCTTCACCGTGAGATGGGCACATCTTGTGTGACGTATGACTTCATTGTGCGACGTTAGTTTTTGCTTTTTTTCTGTTTACCGTTTCTCTCGGCACGGTCAGCACGCGGGTTCACTAAATTCACTATACACATTATCCCGCACGCGCATCTTTGACCGCCATTGGAGCACTAAAGCCATATACGATCTTTCAATCTCGAACCCTCTCAAAACAAAGCCATCCATTTTCTCAGGTTATCCCGGCCTACTGGTCTCCGCCCACAAATACAACAAATAGCCAATCAATCCAAAACAACAAAGAAATATATAACCAAAAAAAGCCTCAAAACACAACCCATCGTTACAATCATCATCCCATCCAGCACCCCAGCCATATTCCACACTCGCCCACCCCCCCTCTATACCCGCTTACTTCCGCCCCTCACTCCACCGCCGCGTGCCCTCTACAATTCCGCACATCCCACATCAGATCATCATGCTGCGGCGAGCCCCAACAACAATTACGCTGACGCAAACCGACATTGAGCAATGGGAAGCCAATCGTCAACGCAAGCTGCACGAGGCGCAGCAGGCGCAGCGTGAGGCCGAGGCCGAAGCCGAAGCGCAGGCGCAGCAGCAGCAGCAGTCTAGCGCTGATGGTGGTGGTAATGCGAAAGAGGGGCGGCAGCAGAGGTCCAAGAAAGAGCGGATTATGGGGAGGAGTAGTGGATGAAGAGGGGAAGGAAGCGTTGCGTAAGAGTGTGTGGCTTAGTTGGTGGTTTGGCAGACAAGAGGGGAGGATGAGGAGGAAAGGGAAGGTTTTGCGATGTGGTAGGATGGAAATGGAGGGATGGGGAGGGGAGTTGTTGAATGTAGGAGAGGAGATATGCAAGTGTTTTGATTGGAGAAAGAAAGAAAAAAGAGAATGGCATGTGCATGTGTGGGAATATTTTGGCTTGTACGCGCTGGAGTTGATGGGTCTGCTACGTATGTTCCAAGTATGTATGTATGTCTGTTTTCAACCTTTTTTTTTCGGTGCTTATTGTAACTACCACCACCATGATAACGGTTTCTCCTCTCTCCCTTCTACGTCCTCCTCTTCTCAGCCACCACTACACACATATACCCGTGCCCGCATCGTCCGACAAACCCTGATTTTCTCTTTTATTATTCCCGTTATTGCTATTTCCCCACTTATTCTTCTTCTTCTTCTTTTCTCTCTCTCAGCATGGCATCATGCCCTATCCAACATCTCACTCAATCCCCGTTTCACGTGTCCCCTCCCCCCCCGGTACTCACACAAGTTGCCTTGATATTATTCCCTGAGATTGGTCCCTGAAATTCTTGCCTGACTTCCTTGCTTGCTTCTACGTCTTCCTTGCACCTTCTATTTTCCCCAAAATGGTCAGGTCGAAAATCCCTGCTTTGACACAACCATAATACTCATCCTTGATAATTATGGCTCCAAGAGAGAAATGCCTGGCTGGGGGGTTATTATTAAGCCGGGTTTTCTTTATTGGCAGGGCGACCGAACATATGATTAAGAATCAAGAGAGAGAGAGACAAATATTATCAATTACCGCAATATTACCTATGTAGACTAAAGCTATTATATGCTGTTATATGCTATAATATATCCAAGCCAAGCCAGGCCAAGCCGAGTGCACAAAGCTGAGCTCAACTCGCAGCCAGAAGAAGAAAAAAAAGAGGTTCCTCTGCTTCTCCATTGTACCATGGCAAATCCATCTCATGTTGAAATCGTAAGAAGAAGAAAAAGCAAAACAGAATGCAATGGAGAGCCTGGCCCAAACAAAGAAACAATAGCAGCAGAAACAGTAACAGTAACAGTAACAGTAACAAAAAAAAAGGCTAACGTATGTGGCAAGCGAGCGCCGCAGGTAAGCGAGCGCCGCACCCCACCAAACCTGCGCACCTCTCCTATCTCAACGAACAATGGCTCAACGTAGCGCTACTCAATTAGCTTTAAATGAAGCAGATATTTAGCTTGCTATTTCTTCTATTAATCTCCATCAAACACAAAGTAATTATCGCGCTGCTGCTGTCTACAACGTGTCTGAACGAACAATCCGCCGCCGACGCGCTGGTATACCTGCTCGACGCGATTGCCAGCCTAACTCAAAGAAGCTCACTAAGCTAGAAGAGGAGGTGATAGTTGATCATATACTTGATCTAGATCTACGTGGATTTGCGCCCACGTATGCTGCTGTGCGCGATATGGCTGATAAGCTGCTGGCTGCGCGCGGCGCTGGCCAGGTTGGGCAGAAGTGGCCAGCCAACTTTGTCAAGCGTACAGACAGTCTTACGACGCGTTT